TTACAGGTGTGAGCCACTGCGCCCGGCTCTAGCAGCTTTTTAAATGTTATCTTCATCACTGATTTTCAGCAATTTGATTCTGATGTGCCTTGGTATAGTTTTCTCTTTGTTTATCCTGGCGTACAGTTTGTTGTGTTTATAGTATTTGTAGGTTTATAGTTTTCAATGAATTTGTAAAAATTTCTTTGAAAAGTTGGGAAAAATGTTTCTTAAATATTTTTTCTCCCTCTCGTCTGTTAGACCGCCTGACATTATCCCACAGGTCCCAGAGGCTCAGTTCCTTTTCAGGCATTTTCCTCTCTGTGCTCCACTCTGGGTAATTTGTACTGCCATGTCTTTAAGTTCAGTGTAAGTCCATCCATTGAATTTTTCATTTCAGACATTATCCCTTTCAGCTCTCTTGTAGGCCATTACAAGTATTTTAGCTTTTACTCTGATATGAGAAGCTACTGAGAGGTGATATATGATTTTATTTTATATTTTGAGATGGAGTCTCGCTGTGTTGCCCAGGCTAGAGTGCAGTGACGCAATCTTGGCTCATGGCAACCTCTGCCTCCTGGGTTCAAGTGATTCTCCTGCCTCAGCCTCCTGAGTAACTGGGATTACAGGCGTGCACCACCATGCTCAGCCAATTTTTGTGTTTTTAGTAGAGACAGGGTTTCACTATGGTGGCCAGGATGGTCTTGAACTCCTGACTTCAAGTGATCCACCCACCTCAGTCAGGTAGTTCCTGACCTCAGGTGATCCGCCCGCCTCAGTTTCCAAAGTGTTGGGATTACAGGCGTGAGCCACCAGGCCCGGCCTATAGGAGGACTTCTATTCAGAAGCAGTATTATTTGTCATATAATTAGAGATCTAAAACACAATGAAAAGCATTCTTAGTAGTTAGATAAGGAAGTTAAATGACCATGAATTTTCTGATAATTTTGTTTGCAGTGTGGGGTGTAATGTTGTTTTACCCCCATTCAAAGTTGTATCTATTTTACCAGATTAAGAAAATTTAAACTCTTTCCTTTTTGGTAAAATATAAATATACATATATACATAAATATGCAACATATATATAACTCCCAACTAATAAACAAAGTTTGTTTTAGAAATTTGTTTTTCCAAAGCAGAGTCAATAGTTTACAATTCAGATTTTTCCCTATAAAAACAAGAATTCCCAAACTGTCAAATGTCAATTCAATCCGTAAAAGGAGGTGATGCCTAAACAGCCAATCGTTCTAACAGCATTACTGATGGAAACTGGCACCTGAAACAATGGACGGAGCCCTACTAGGTATCCAGTGATGAAGACACCACCGTAAACAAAACCCAGACATGGCTGCTGCTCCGATGGTGCTAACGACACTCTAGTAGGAAAAGAAACGACCACACCAGTCTCAGAGGACACAATACAATTTTATCCAATCAGGGAGATCAGCAAAAGCAAAGGTCAGTACAATGACCACAGAGCTAAAATGAGGAGTGACAATAAGATGGACATTCCGTAAGGCACCCTGATCAGCACATTCCCTCAAGGCATCCTCTAGCTCTAAGCCAATGCTAATGATGACCACAGCT